ATTTTAAAGATAAAAAATTATATTATAAATAATATCAGCTATTTATAACTATACTGAACCTGCCAATTTCCTTGTAAAAACACTAACTTCCAGCTATAATGTACAATTTTTTTTCTACAATTACTGTTTGATTTAATTTAATAACTTGTGCTATATATTGATCGGTAGGAAGCAGAGTGTGAAAAAGCAGCAATGGACATAAAATACAACACCGACACAAAGATCGAAGACAACGCTAGACTGTTCCAACTCCAGAAAGCAAATTTCGATCAGGAAGTGAACACAGCTGTGGGTGACAAATTTTTTATAATCAATTTTTCCTGAATTATTGATATAAATAAGATTATAATTTCGATGAAATTATGTTGTTCGGTGTATAGAAAGCAGAGGCACAGTTGGCCTACGAACTTCAAGCAGCAAAGATAAGGCAACGGATACGAAACGAAGAGATTCAGATAGAGGTGGTGGAGAGGCGCAAACAGATCGAGGTGGAGGAACAGGAAGTCCGTCGAAAGGAACACGAGCTCCATAGTACCGTGCGACTACCCGCAGAAGCTGAACATTACAAAATTGGCAGAGTGGCCGAAGGAAAGAGGTGATTTAATATCTTCAATGCTCACTTAGATTTCGAATGCAAATTTAAATTTGAATTTGAAATTAAAGGTGACATTTGAAATTTGCATTTTGGAACACTTTTTCCAGGAATATCAGAAACATTAATTAAATAAAATTTTTGATAAGTGTCCAAACATTTAGCTGAAGTAATTTTTCCTATAAATAAAAGCAACACAAATCTTCAATATTGATTAAAATTGTGTCAATGTTAACATAAACTTCCTGAATATAGCCATCAGTTTTCAATTTTGTTCGTCATTCTCCACAGATTGACATTGATCCAAAAAAACATTATTCAAACAAGAATGCAGACTAAAAAAAAACATTTAAAATTAGAAAAGCAATTAAAAATCTGTCCATCAAAGAAAAATCTGGTCAAGACAAAAAAAGAATCAGGCCAGTATTAGCTGTCAGAGGGAACAAATCAATCGGTTTCCTCTACTATTTCCAACGTGAGCGTGTTTTAACTGGTTTCCACGTTTTTAGGACGCAAACCGTGAACGCGGCCAAAGCCGAAGCTGAAAGGATTCGATTGATCGGAGTAGCCGAGGCTCAAGCTCTAGAGGCAGTTGGAGTGTCGGAAGCTGAACGTATGCAGATGAAAGCGGTCGTCTACAAGAAGTACGGCGAGGCTGCCATTCTGAACATCGCTCTGAACGCGCTGCCAAAGGTAAGAGGTCTTCTACTTCAGGGCTCGTGTTAACGACCTGACGATTGTGAATTTACGCAGATTTTGCAAAATTCTGGAAATTTTTCATATTTTTGGATAAATTAGGAAGATTTCAAAGTTTAAAAATCTCAAGGCACTGTACTTGTGATTTCTGATTTTCCAGAGTTTGAAAATAATAGAATTTAAAATTTT